GACACTGATACGAACATTCCCACATTACAATCTAACAGGTAAAGACTTACGACGACATTCTCACATTCATAAAGGAAAAAAAAAAACTGTCAAGTACAGTTTGATAACTATACTCAAATAATCACAGAGCAGAATCTCACAGGTACATATTGATAACTACTCTCTCACATTCACCTTGCAGAAATTGACAGATACAGATGGATAACTACACTGACACATACACAGCTCAAACTGACAGGAACAGGTTGACAACTACACTCGTTCATTCACGTGGCAGAAACTGACAGCTAAGGATGATAACCACCACACTCATATTCACAGAGCAGAAACTGACAGGTTTACAAGTTGATAATCACATTCACATACTCACAACACACGTACTGATAAGGAATGATTGACACATTCACCAAGCAGAAACTGACTGGTACATAATGATAACTACATTTATGTATTCATAAAGCTGAATCAGACAGGTACAAATTGATAACTAAACTCACATTGAAATAGCAGAAACTGAAAGTCAGAGACTGATAGCAACACTCTCAATCTCATAGCTGAAACTGCTAGGCCTTGGTTGATATCTACACTGAAATTCACATCGCAAGAAGTGGCAGGTACAGATTAATTCCTTTCTTCGATATATAGAGGAGACGCTGACAGGGACAGGTTTGGAATTACACTCTCATAGTCACATAATAAACTCACAGGAACAAATGGATAATAACACTCCCACATCACAAAGCATAAAATCACAGATACAGTTTGATATTTACACTCAATTTCACACAGCAGAATCTGACAGGTACAGATAACTGCACTCATTTACTGACTTGGCAGAAACTGACGGGCATAGATTCAAACTTGCGCTCATGTATTCACATTGCAGAAACTGACGGCTGCACTCTCGTATGCAGTGAAAATTTCCTGACAAAATTTGAATATGTTATCCATCTCTAAAATTTATCCAAAATTTGATAAAGACGTTGAAATATTCACAGGGCAGAATAACACATGCATATACTGATAATAACACTCTCGCATTCACCGAAGAGAAATTAACAGGGAAAAATTGATAAGTGCATCACACATTCATGTTGCAGAGACTGTCAGGAGCAGTTGCTTCCAACATTCTCATATTCACAGAGTGGAATCGATCAGGGATAGACTAACGATTACACACACACATTCAGCAAGCAAAACTGACAGGTATAGATTGGTAACTACATTTACAGATTCACACACAAAAGTCTGATAAGAACAGATCGAAACTAAATTCACAGATAAACTCATAGCAAAAACGGACAGGTACAGAATTATGAATACATTCACACATTCACAAAACCAAAACCCAGCAGTGAAAAAATGATAAATGAACACTCCGATTCAGGGAGCAGAAACTGATGAGGAAAGATTGATAAATACACTAACATGTGCACATTGCTGAGACTGACAGGAACAGATTGACAAATACACCCACACTCTCAGAGCAGAAACTGACAGCTCCAGATTGATAACAACACACGTGTATTCACATGGAAGAAAGTGGCATGGACAGATTGATGACTGTAGATTGATAACCACAGTCACACTTTCTCATCGCAGCAACTGAGTGGGACATATTGATTGACAATCACTTGTTCACATGACAAAACTGACAGGTAGAGACTTAAAATGACAGTCAAATTCACATAGCAGAATCTGACAGGCACGGATTAATAACTGCACTCACACATTCACATTGGCTGAAACTGACAGGTACATATTGATAAATGCATTCATATATTAACAAACCAGAAACTGACAGATACAGATCAATACTGACACTCTCAGATGATCAGAGCAAAACTGACAGGTACAGGCTGGTAATTAAACTTGGACATTGAAATTGTAGAGACTGACGGGTACATGTTAATAACTATTTGGATTTTCACAGGTAGAGATGGATAACTACATTCAAATATTCATACAGAAAAAGTTGGCTGGTACAAATTGATAACTATATTTACATATCCACAAAACGGAGACTAAGATGACAAATTGATCAATACATTGACATTACAGAAACTGACAGTGCTTTAATCTGTGGGGCTGTGGGCTGTGTGCAGGAAGGTGGGATTAGAATAGCCATCTGTTTGTCTTTGGGTTGGAATGGACAAGATAGGCCAATAGGCCAACAGCCTTCTTCAGTGGTATATCATTTCAATGGATGTATGGTTCTATATCGATCTGTCCCTGTCAGTCTCTGCTGTGTGAATACATAAGTAATTTAACAAAGGCTTAGATTGTGTGAGTGTAGTTATCATTCACCAAGTATGAACTGACATGAATAGATCAACAACTAAACTCATATTCACAGACCCACTTGCATTGGGTAGCCCCATTCATGGAACTGTACACCTGTTAGTTAGTTTCTGGACTTCACTCAATTGGTATGGAATTAACAAAAAGTAAAATCACCAGACAGGGAGCAGCTGAGAGCAAGAGTGGCATCAGACACACAATTCTGTTCAAATTCCTGGCTTGAAAGAAAATATTGTAATGATTATTAACTAAACATTGCATTGATCAATTAAATATTATCAAACTTGGCTGATGTTGATTTACAGGAGGTTTTTCTTCTGTCTTTCTCCAGGCAAATACTTGAAGGACTAAGAGAAAGTGATATTCCCTCAGTCCAAAGCCAAGTGTGACCAACAGATTCTAACAAACAGAAGGTATTTTACCGCTGTCAGACCAGAGAACATCCTTCCCACAGGCACAGAGCAGATTGAGTCAGACATGCACTGAAGTCAATTTCCAGCTAGATATGCTCAAACAACACAGAGGAAATACAAGTTTTTTGTTTTTTTTCACCATTCACAATGCACACCTGCCCAGTTTGAACAAATTTCAGCATTTCAAGTTTGGCAAAGATCTGCAGCTCGGGTAGTTGCTGGGATAATGTTGCTGACTTGCTCGCTGAGCTGGCTTGTTTTTGTTCAGACGTTTTCATCACCATGCTCGGTGACATCATCAGTGGAGCCTCTGATGAAGTGATGTGTTCTGCTCCACGTGGAATTTATACTGTCTGGTCCGTTATGGTGAGTACTGTCATTTCTGGTTTTGATCTGTATGAGTTTATATATGGGGTCCGATTCTATGTGTTTGTTGATTGAAGTATGGATGGAAAACCATGCCTCTAGGAATTCCCATGTGTGTCTATGTTTGGCTTGGGCTACTATGGTTACTTTGTCCCAGTTAACCTGATGGCCTTCATTGTCTGACTATACAATACATTCAGACAATGAAGGCCGTCAGTTGAAATGGGACAAAGTAACCATATAAAAACTGAAAGAACTGTGGATGCTGTAAATCAGGAACAAAAACAAAGTTGCTGGAAAAGCTCATCAGTAACTGGTTCTGAGGAAAGGTCACTGGACCCGAAAGGTTAACTCTGTTTTTTCCTTACAGATTCTGCCAGACCAGCTGAGCTTTTCCAGCAACTTTGTTGTTGTTGGACAAAGTAACCATAGTAGCCCAAGCCAAACATCGACATGCACAGAAATTCCGAGAGGCATGGTTCTCCACACAAACGTATAGAAAGGACAAGTTGCCAAGAAGGGCGCTAAGAAAGTGGTGAAGAGGGCGCCAGCGAAAAGCGGCAAGAAGAGAAGGTCCAGGAAAGAAAGTTACTCTATCTACATCTACAAAGTGATGAAGCAGGTTCACCCCGACACCAGCATCTCCTCCAAGGCCATGAGCATCATGAACTCATTCGTCAACGATATTTTCGAGCGCATCGCGGGGGAGGCTTCCCGCCTGGCCCATTACAACAAGCGCAGCACCATCAGTTCCCGGGAGATTCAGACCGCCGTGCGGCTGCTGCTGCCCGGGGAGCTGGCCAAGCACGCCGTGTCGGAGGGTACAAAGGCGGTGAC